GGGGCCGTTGTTCAGTTCATTGAATCATACACCTTTCGGACGGGGTCAGACGTCCAAGGTACCCAATAGACCTTGATACCCAATCGAGCCGGTGACCATTGCCACAACCGGAAAGGTGCGGGTGTGGTTCATACGCCTCCTCATGGTTGGTTTGAAATCAGTGTTTTTGGCCAACTCCCCCAGCTGAACTACTAGTGGTTCACCAACCCGGTTATAGCCCTGCCTATCGGCTTTTCGTCCTCTCACTTTGGTGGGAAAACACCTCCGCCACGAGAAGGCAGTGGGTAGGACTTCCTCAGTAGAGGCTATTTGAGACCTTCGGTAGTATGGGAGCATTTCGCGGGGTGCAAGGGAATGGTGACCAACCACAACCCCAGACACCCACCCCCGACCATACAAAGCCGAGCTCCTGGATCGCGAAAGAGTTGTAGATTATGCAACACCTGGTTAACCGAGAGAAATTATTTAGCGTGAGCTACATTGAGGCTAATTGCAGAACATGCAAACAAATTGCTGTCATCAAAAGGCTTATTCATCCCTTGTGGTTGTGCTCTACTCCCCCATGTCTCGATAACGTTCGTTCCGCACTAGTCTGCAATCGCTACCAGTTAAGATGCAGCGAAATCGGCCACGATGTGAATCACGTAGTTTTGCTGTCCTGAGTCCTTTCTTTGAAATTTTCACTATGCTTTTAATGCGAAGCATTACTGGCGCTGGATAAGCCTAGGTGGTTCTGTTGTTATCAAGCGGAGGAGATATTTCGCACTTTGGATAATGCACATCAATGTTTGAACACAACTGGGGCCCCCAATCAAGTTCTTTGGAAATGAATCCTGTCGTTAGGCCCGGTAGATCTTCATTAACTGAATAAGGCGCACAATTAGGAAGAAGCTCCTAGCCCCCTTATCCAGATATATATATAACAATACCAACTCCCTGGTATGTATTCACAGACAGTGTGCTTCAGCTGCAACCCACAAACAAAGAAGAACAAATTTACGCAGGCGCACCTGCACAATGGCTAGCTCCGAAGCCAGGAGATTTAGTTTCACTTTTATGATTGTGAAGTTCTGAAAACATTTGTTCTCTCATAATAGTCTTCTGAACGTATGTTCCTCACGTATGTTACCTCACTCATTCATTGGTGTCATCTAACCCAATTTAGCTCAAAGGTCGATCTCAACGAACAATGCGAAATGCAATGCACAAAAGAAAATAGATGTACGCTTTGCTTCCCCAAATCGAGTTACCTCGTCCGTTTCCATTTTCGATTGCATTGAATGATTCACGTAGATTGGAGTCACTTCAGTCATATGCTCGTCTGGTGGTAATGCCCTTTGGAAATCGGGAGCTGCAATTCGGATCAGTTGACGACGTTTCTCAGTCGGTGAACCGTGAATAGACTAGATTGGATTTGCCGAAGCGAGATGCGAAAAAGGATCAAGGGAACGAGGCGAAATTGTGTTTGTAGATGATAAATCTGTCAGTTGAGTTACGATACATAACAATTTTCACAGTTTGCAAAAGCTGTGCAAATGTTGAGTACTGAAATAAAAAGCAAACTGAACTAAACAGTTGTTCTGATTGTTTTAATTGAGACCATTTTTTGATGCATTCACTTTCGTGAGTACTGAGTGGAAGTTTGAGACGTTTTCAATTAAGCACATTTTTTTATTCAACCTTGTTTTTTCCCAATTCACTATCACAAATTCAAGTTGGAAACAACTGTTTTCCAATTATCTTTTTCCTTACCAGTTGCTATCAGTTTAAAACCAATCTATCCAGTGTTTTTCTAACATCTACATTTCTCATAAAAAGGCTCATCTTTCACACTTAAATCAGATGGAGTCTGTTGCTGTTCTTTCGTCAATATCTTGGGTGAATTCCTATGTTGAAATTGTGAATAGTTCAGTTGCCCCGATGGGGTTCGAACCCAGGCATGGACGCCACTTGAGCCTCTATACAGCACAGTCCGTTAATATCATACCAGTGCAGAGATTGGGAAACACAAAAAGTATTGTTAAAGCTTTGGTACCCTAAGCACAATTCCTAAAATATGAACAGACGAATGACTTTAAAGTCCATCGCGGAAAAAGCTTCAAAGAAAACGTGTTTAAAATGTTGCATATTGTAGGAACCAGAAAAAGTTTCCCGTCCGTATTAGTTGTATTGACTTTTAAACCCAACAGTCACCACCGCCTTCTGGTAATGGTGAATGGCAAAACCTGGGAATGAAGTCACTGTGGGGAAGTTGTTGAAATAGCTTTACAGATATGGGACACAGAATTCAGTTATCCTAGTTAATGAGTAACTTTACTGTTGGGTGAATTATTCTTTATCTAGATATCTAGATAATCCTTGAAAAATAAAAAGATTGTTGTGGATTCAAACACTTAAGTTGAATTAGCAAGCAGAACAGCTGTCATATTTTCATTTTTCAAATCTTTTTGTGATACATTACATGAATAATAATGAGTAAAATATTACAGGAAACAACTCTTCAGTTCGCATCCTTTTAACTGTTTAAATACATCAAATATTGTTTTTCAGAAGCAGTTTTGTTCACTTTATCTTATCCGAGAATTACCAATCCTATAGGATCTACTGTCTTAAACAGTGAGAACAGATTCTTCAAAGTGTTTGTAAAACCCCTCTTCATGGTGGTCAATTTGTAATCCGTTCACCAAACGTCAAGCAGATGTAACCGGTTTTGCATACATGGAAATCGCATTAAAGTCTGACACGTTTGCATCGGGAATAAGCTGGATAATTGCAACATGTCTTCACTAGCATTGTTAGGCATTCTGACAAAACGATTCTCAATTAGTTACCCAAATGAAAACTAGCTTCCACCAGACTATATCTGACGGATTAAGCGTCATGTACCAGCTGATATCCTCAGACTGTGATCATAATGTGATGGAAGGCAGTTCAAAGAGAGTCCTGGCTAGCGACCGAAGCAAGAATGGGGCCCATCCGACCAGACGCACAGACGCAGTGGCGGGAAGTGCCTCGCGAGACAATGTTGACTGCCACCCGAAACAAGTGATTCGACAATTACAGCCCGAAAGACAATCCGCAGCTAACGGGAAAGATACCCACCGAATGCCACAACGTCGGAGCTGTCGATCAACGCATCTCGCGCCGCGATCGGGTCAAACCAGTCGGAATGGCACGCGGAAGAAGAGGCAACGTACGTGCCAAGTGCGGACCAAGACCAACAACGAATGATCCACAGCAAGAGGCATGAATCATCCCGCCGCGCGGTTCAGAATTGATTGTATATAATCGAACGTAGACACTGTTTGTTTTTGAATTGGATCAATAGAGGTTTTCCCAGCCAGCTCGCCTTCTCGTTACAATAAGGCAGAAGTTCCGACCGGGATCGGGCTTTCAACAGACGCTATTCAGGCATATTTGACTTCAGTTTTCACTCTTTTAAATAAACAAAAGATACAAATAAATCTTGTATCATCTGGTCCGCTAATTTATCAGGATTCATTTATCACCAGTGAACATCGAGAGAGCACTGAAGCAGAAACGTTTCTAGTTTCTCCCCCATGAAAAGGAAGGATGGAGGATATGAAATATAATTTTTTTTTCACGACAACTTAAATGAGAAGGATTTGATTCTACCCGAAAGTTCGTTGATGCATATGAGAAAGAATTGCATATAATCGATCAATTTTTACACTGATTACCAAAAGCACATGAATGGCAGATCACTGTCCTAATGGAACAGTTNTAGCGAATGCAGTAGAAAGTGGTGAGTAAGAAAACGGTGGTAAAAAGTAATATTCAGCGATCACACATGCTTCAGCACAGACAAACAGAGAGAGAGAGGCGAAAGAGCGAGAAGCGCACTACGTCAATCAATGAAATTCACAACGCGACAGTAGTCACGTGGTTTGATACGGTGATTCTTGGGGCCCAGGATGTTTGTTGGGAAACAAACGCATTTGATAAACCCTGGGAATTTACGCGTTACCAGCCTCGGTGACGCTTTCGGGCACATTGATAAACGATAGGAAAGGGATGTGACTCCCCAGATTTGGATCGCAGTTAATTATGTGGGTGGAAAAGCGTACAAACCTCGAATGAACCTCAAATTTATGAACACGCAGCATAGTAATTAGATTCAAATGGTATAAGAAAGAACTGCTTTACAGAAAATTCTTTTGTTTCCAATCGTTGTCAATTTTTCATTCGTTAAATATTTCTCTAAAGGGATTTCCCCACTTTTCATGTGATAGTTTAAAAAAGGATTGTACATTTTAAACTTTTTATAGGGAACAAATATATCTCAGCAAAAAAATAATTAAGCTTTCACGTGACATCGATTGGACGGAAATCAATTTATTTATACAGTGAACTACAATCTATTACATTTATTTACCAATGGTTATAATAATTTACTGCCTAACAAAATAAAAGAGAACAAAAGTTGACAATCCTAGCAGTTGTTTTAACAAATAAAACGGAGTTACGGAAAGACCGGAAATTGTTCAATTCAAACATTTTCTCGTAATAATTATCTAAATTCACACATACTAGGTTCCTAGCATTGTGTACTTGTGTGGCTCCCACTCTTTCACAGTAAGCCCACCAACAACACAGTGAAGCAATTCTAGTGCGATGGAACTGGACGTTTACTGGGCCAAAAAGGTACTGAATCGCTCTTTCCTTCCGACGGAGACCCATTAGTAGTTCGTGTAATCCTCTGTCCTTTGCAAGTCTAAATTCACGCATCTATGAGATTGAGATGTTGGCCAACTGGGGTTTAGATGTTAACCCCTCCTTAGACGTAATGTTGTTTTAATATGACTGAATTTGGCATAATACGAATATCGTTCGTATCTATCGAAGGAACGATTTTGTTAGTTCATTAATTCATCACGAACGGAGTAAAAAGCAAAACGCTTAATGGGCATATTACAATACAGTAATTTAAAAACAATTAAACCANTTAGGTACGACACTCGAATTGTAACGGAATGATATTCGGAGAGCATTGCGTTACGCTCTTTTCTGTCAAATGCCATTTGACAATTTTGGTGCAGTGTTTTCCTACGTTTGTCACATACGGGTAGCGGGAACAATGGTCGAGTGAGATGTGCTGCTCGTATTTATTTCTATCGAAAAACAGCTCAAGATGCACACTTTGTCAAAGCTGCCCAATATGGTAGTGAATAAATATTCTCTCTCTTTGTCGTCACTCAGTGGTTAACTATGTACAGATTGGAAGTTCCTGTTCTATGGCATGATTTGCTCCTGTGCTTAATCCGTTTGTAGTAAATATTAGCATAGTTTGGTTCTCCTTAACCGTCTTCAAATAAGGCGGTAACAATTGTAATGCGCACTAGATGAATTTCAACGTCGGCAAACAGTCGCCTGTTGGACTGGAATATGTCTAACCCGATCTGATGAGGATGGTCATTGAGATAAAACCAGGTTTACATTTCGAACAATCCAAAAACACCCGAATTCGGCCCAGAGGTCCAGTTGACTGAATCATCGTGATGATTCTTCGAGGCCTGTTTGTCTCAAATCCCCTTTCTGAGCAATAAATTCACATCAGAATTTCGAGTATAAGAAAGACCAGGTGGAAGACAATCGACTGCGAATACAAGACACACAGTGAAGATCGTAAAACCGATCGTGTGCTTCTGGCAAATTTTGTTCAGTCATTCATATACTACTGATTTGATCTAAGTCCCGTTCGGAATTAGGGTCTATGGATTCACGTCCACCCGCTAGGTCAATGGAAATTTTTGTGCATGTTAAAATCGATTTTGTTCATCCATGGATAACGTTTACCGTAGCTCGTTTGTTTTCCATGAGCGTGACCAGAGTGATCTATTGGAACGGAATATAGATATTCACTGCTATTTCGCATCAGAGCACTCGAAGAAAGATGTTACATTACCCATTCAAAACTGACACCCCGGTAGACGAACAACAGCGGTAAAGAAGTGCCAAAGGAGTGTCGGAATAGAACAGCTGTTCACATATAAAAACCGCATATCGCTTCACATATCGCATTATCACCGCAGTGAAGCATTTGCATATAGTTTTGAGTTCTACTTTTGTTCCATGGTATTATCTTTACATCCGCAAACCGAATATTATAAAAAGATTTATGGATAGAAACTATAGTATTAAGGATTACCCTTTGCAGTAATCAGACCAAGGGTATAAAATTCTAAATTTTTAACTGTACGAGGCCTAACATTATTCTGTTACCTGATAATCGAAGCCGGTAACAACAAAAATGTCATTGTTCAACCGTCATGGATGAAAACAGTGCTGAGTACTGCAACTCCGGATCCGTACACACAAGTGACAGCGGTCTAAACTTTCGGACTTCTTATGGGATGCAATCTGCTTGCATTCATGCTTCACTGTACCTCATCGAACAGAACAGTTGACACCATAACTTCCGCGTGACTGTATCTTCGCTTGGAATTCACTGTGTGCGCTTACGATACTGGCTGTTCTCACACATTGACGGAGAGTGTGAACTTTCATCTTTCAGTTCAACAATATTCCCAAATCACTGCCTTTTCTCTATCGCGTTCATTCAATGAAGATTGAGATTTGTCAAAAGAACAGCTCAGATCAATAAAAACGTTCGACGATCTAAGACGGGAGTTTGTGCATGTCTTACCGCTTGTAACATTTTATTAATCAGAACCTCAAAGTTGATTGTCATCAGGCAGACATTATTGATTGAACACCGGAATTGAAATTGCGATACAAAGTGCAGATGAGACCAACAGAGTCACCTTATGTCAATTACCCTCGGGGGAAAACATAGACAGGTAACTGACCAAACTGTCTCTAGTAATATATCACTGAAGTCAATACGCCCCCCCCCCGGTAGAACGAAGCGCAAACCTTATGTGTACTATTTTCTGTCAGTTGGGAATTCCAGCTAACACGAGAGGCTTGTAAGGGTTGCTGGCGTGTCGGATCTTTCTTGTTTCGTATAATCGATTATTTCAGCCCACACAAGAAATTTATCATGCAGGAGTGTTTGTGAAAAACTGAAGGAGGGGTTAGAACAGCTTCACTCGTTACTGATGCTGACGATTGGCGAAATTTGAACGTACTGATGATTTTCTATGATATCAAGCCCATCGATCGACAACGGATCGCGCCATAATTATGAGGAACGGCAAAACAAACACTAATAATTTTCTAATTGTGGAAATTAATATGCATCCATTCAACAAGTAGTTGATTTGTTATAATCAACCGGGTTCATGCCATAATTATCGAATTTTTGCGAGATAAAATGAACGTATTTTACCGGCGCAGCCCAAACTGAATAAGGCATGATGTCCTGACACAACTAATTGTTTCTTGATTTGATTGATTATCCTTCGGACTTTACCTTCACGTACAATCCTCAGTTCATCGATCAGTTCATCGTTCGAAATCACTGGACTCGAGTTTCGCCCATATTAGAGCTCGTCAGCAGTGCATATCCACCGTCTCATCCGAGACTGAACTGGAGTGATAATTAGCATTTAACTCACCGTTAATTTTGAGAGTTGATGTGGGATAATTTATATTCATTGATTTATTGATCAATAAACATCAATTATCCAACACTATTATGCACAAGTAGCTGTGAGTTAAATGGGAACCAGTTATAACACCTAATGGAGTTCGTCGATTTATTGAAACAACTTCAGGTATCGTTTGAGAAGCGGTGCCTTTATCTGATCTGAATAACTACTATTTCTGACAAGTGGTTTGAAATGAACAATCTGACATATCTCAGCAATGAACCACATCAAGCATCATATTGACGCAGAATGCCCGTGGCATCCAATTCTTATTGAACTCATGGATTATCAGAGTCAAGGTCTACTGCCACATCGTTGAGTGAGTGAAGTGCTAATAATGAGTTCAATTCGGATGATCACAAAGGAATTCCATAAATTCTTATTTCCAATAAAACAAATATCCAAATTATGAAAACACCTTGGTCAGACTAGGAGCGTCATATAATTAGCAATATAAAATTACGCAAGGTCTGTTGGAGGAGAGGGTTACGGTTCAATGTTGAAACGATTTTTTCTCACTCGCCAAACTGGTTTCGTAAACGACAACTTGTGGACCCGTCGGTTCAAAGCCGCTTTGCCCTTTTGTTCTTTTGTGTGTGGTTGTTTCAAGTATCTTGGCGTGAACGGTTCCTCAAATCACATATAGAATTCTAGCGACTGTGAAACGTATTCGGAAAGTCTTTTCTTTCAGCATGGTGTAAATGCATACAATTTATCACATTTCCGATGTTCTTTTTTTACAATCAAAGTTAGTTGTTTATTTCTTTTTATTCTGTTTAAAAAGGCTTGAAAATCAATTGTTCAGACTGTCGATGCAAACGTAATGTTGTGCGGCTTGCAGCGATCCGGATAACTGTGAGCGAATAGGGAACTGAATAAATCGATATTTATATCTATATAATGGCTGCTTATTTGATAAAATACTGAAACAGAAATTAGCAGCTGACATAAAGCTTAATAAAGGCAAAGTACGTTCCCAGCAGGAAAACAACCGTCTATTTGGATGTTGAAAAAATGGAGCGCTTACGCGTAAACCAATTATTTCCTCGTAATTCTTGTGGTTGAATTGCAATAGAACAGCGAAATCCGGATTTCATAATTAATCTATTGAGGCTAGCGCGCGTTCAATGACCACAACATGACCAATCGGGAACGCAGAGTGGATACTAACGCAATCAAAGAAAGGCATGAATTCAAAACCTATATGAACCGAAGTGTTAGGCGAATAAAAAGTAGAGTCTTTAAATGCCTGACCGTTTGAAATATATTTCATGGCCGTTGAGGTGCTTAATATAAACAACAAAATCGTGTAACCGGCGATGTGCATATAGGCGCTGAGATGTAAAGCAGGAAAAACAGTTGGTGGTAAAGTAGAAATTGATCTATCATTAACTCTCTTATTTACGAATTATTGATCTAGAACAGGTGACAAAAATGGCCC